TTGACAGAGATATATAAGGATGTACGTAGAGAGAGAGTGGGAAGGTGGGGGTGTGGATTGAGATATAATTAACATTCTTTAAAGTCATAGCTTTGGACATGAAGAATATACAAAAGGATTAGTTAGAGTTTTGTTCAAGTCAAGTTTGAGAAGATGTTAATGTACACTATTTTTAATATATTTATATATATGCTCCCATTATAATATCACTATTTTTGAAGTGCAAGGCTTATTGTTCACTAGGGCACTTCACCATCATCTAGCTTTATCAGTTGCCTTTCTACTTTTTCTAAAGGTTGAAAAATAGTTTTTTTTCTCTTCTTCTTCCCCTTCTATCTGAATCTATACCCAAACACTGGTCTAGTATATGTGAAGCTTTCAACTGCTATGATAATAACACTAGATAACTTGTCCATTAAATTTCATTGAATTTATTAGATTGTATATGTTATTTCAACTTCTGGACTTTAGTTACATCAATTAAGACTCAAAGACATATTTTATTGAAGAAGAAAGTGTATAAAATAGCACAAGAATTAATGAATAAGGGAATTACTTAACATCTTTGATAATGATTGTCACAAGAAAAAAAATATCCACCCAGACAAGAAAACATCGAATGACATGGCCATATAGTTATAATAAGTGCAACGAAGTTGTTGGGAGAGAGTTTATGTCAAACTTGGGTCACCTAAAATTGAGATACTAATTAAGAATTGATCCACAGGAATAATTAAGGTTGCTTAAAAATAATAACCAGTGAGCCCACTATAGTTTCTTCAAGAATTGTGACCATAACAATATAGTAATATCAATGACTTCTTCAAAGTATTAACGAAGACAATCGGAGAGGGATATGGCTGCATTGGGTGGGATCCACTTTTTCTGATTAATAGTTTTTTTATCATAATAAATTTTATTCATTTCATTATTAAATTTAAATTATTTAAAAGTACATTCAATTTACAAAAATTATAAAAATTTAAAATTGATTAATATATAATTAGTTAATTCATTTTAATGTATGATATTGTCAGTAAAATATAAGTTAATATTAATTACAATACTTTATGTTTATGAATATTTAATTTATTAAAATTAAGTATGTATAAATATAATGTTTTGTTAATCTAACCTTATAATAATAAATTATTAAAAAATAAATATTTATTAAATTTTTTACAACTTTAATGTTATAATATATATTTATTTATAAATATTTAAACTCAACTGCTAAAATTGAAAAAAATCATATATACAAATATTAAGATAATTTTGTATGGTTCCGTGATTAGTTATATTAAATTTATATTATGTAAAAATTATTTATATAAAAGATATTGCTAACATACTTTTATTTTAATTTATAATATAACACTATCGTATAATTTTTATATGAAAATGTATTCAATAGAGATATAAACATAATATCGATCTGTTGATGTTGCAGGTGGATATAGATCTTGTTGTGGCTGAGGCTTATAGGCCAAGTTAAATTCTTAAATAGGTTAAATTAAAATTAAAGCTTAGAAGTTTTAGGAGTGCATTTTGTAAGGTAAGGAGTAAAGATGAAAATAAATTAGGCTATTTGACAGAAGTGACTGGAGCCTATAATTTAGCTTCTTCTTAATTTATATTAATTAATAAGCTTAATTTATATTTTTTTAAAAAGTTTAATAAAAAAAAGTCTATTATATCTATTTAAAAATCATAAAATTTATAATAATATATTAAAAAAATTTATATAAAATTTATAATATAATAATATATTAAATCAATTAAATTTTAAAATAATAAAATCTTAAATTAAAAACGCTAATTTTTTTTGTTAGAGTTAAAGAATGTTTTTACTACATATCCTCTAAGAGAAAGAGTCATGCTTATTGGAGTTTTTTATATACCCTATATGCACATATTTACATTCGTTGTCTCGATTACATCTATCGTTAGTTTATCTCAACTCATCCATTATCTTCCTACAATTAATACTAATGTATAAGACTTTATTCTACTAAATTTGCTTAATGATTTATAAATTGATGGTTATTTTATTGTATATTTTGTATGTGTAATGATTTACTTATTTAAATAAAATATGTGGTTTGAAAGTGATAAATAGAAGTATGTAATTTTATTATACATATTCAAGGCGTTAAAATTTTTTTTAATATTTTATTTAGATATAAGTCTTATGAATTTTAAAAGATATATCTATTTAAATGATTTAATAGTCTATTTATAAGAAAATTTAATGACATATTGAATGTCTCAATATGAAGTAGGCTATTAAATAAGCTAATAAGACAAATCTAAGGATGACAATGGGTAGGGTACTACAGTACCCATCCCCATACCGGCGTTTTAAAAAAATACTTGTACCCGGCCCCATACCCGCATGGGTACGAACATTAATCCTCATACCCGTACCCTCTGAGTACCCATTACCCGCGCTTATTTGAAAAAAAGTATTTATAAAGAAAAATATGTTTATATAACTTCACATAAGTAGCATAATAATACAAAAAATCAATATGTAGTTGCCAAACAAGGTACAAATATAGATAAAAAATAAATATTCAAAGATCATAAATGTTAAATGTATCTTAATATAATAATATTCTAAACTAAAATTTTAAGAAACAATAAGCAAAACTAAACACACAAGTTATTTGTCAGTGATAATTCTATCTTGTGTAAGATTTGATTGATTGGTAATGTCAGAACGACAACGAAATAGATTTGTACAATGGTTGTCCCTTCGTGTATGATCACTTAGTAACCTCTTGTGACGGCATTAACAACTAATTCTAATTAATAACATTTCATAGTTATTAAGTTTTAGTGAGACAGACATTGAGAATGAAAATAGAGTTAGAATAGAGAAGTTCAATACTAACAACAGAAAGTTGATACATAAAATATTTTTTTTAACTTTTGAATTTGAAATTGTAAGAAAAATAATAGATTTAATTAAAATAATATAATATAATTAATATATATATATATATATATATATTAATACTAGTATTTTTTAACTCATATACTATACGAAAGTATTTTATCAAAAATATAAATTTTTGAAAAATTATTTTAGTGAATTAAATATTTATAATGTATATAAATTAAAAAAAAAAGAATTTGAATAAATAAAGAAATATACGTGTATATTAAAAAAATTATACTTTTTTATCTTAAAAAAAATTAACAAATAAAAATTAACAATAATTTTTTATATTTATATCTTTTCAAAAACTTCTTTGAATGTGAATAAATAGTAAGAATAATATTATTTAGATTCAATAGATTATAGTTGTGCTTGTAATACATATGTTACATAGAAAAATATTATTTTAAATTAAAATATAAAAATAAAATTTAAATATTATTAATAAATAATAAGTTTATGGTAATAGTAGGTGATTGTAAAATTTATAAAATATTTATAATATATTTATTATTTATCATTCACTTTATGATTTAAACATCAATATGATTTTATTAACAAAAATATTTGTGTAAAAAATATTTTATGTGTGTCATATATAAATAATATTTTAAAAAAAGTCAATCTCATATTAACTATGTAATAATTAAATGATATAAAATAGTAAATAAATTTTTCTATTAAAAATATAAACCAAAATAAATTTTTTGGTTTACTTTATTATTAAATATATTTTTATATTAATCTTATATAACTTCACATAAGTAATATAATTATACAAAAATTCAATGCATAATTGTAGAATAAAGTTCAAGCATATATATGCGGGTATGGGGCGGGGTGAGTACTTAGATATCCATACCCGCACTCATCTCCATTAAAATTTGTGAGTTTTTACCCACACCCATACTCGTATAGCGGATAAATACCCTACCCATTGTGGGTAAATTTTGCAGGTGTCCATCGGGTACTTTACCCATTGTCATCCTTAGACAAATCAGACTTTTAAAAAGGTTAAACTAGGTTTAATACAAAGTCTATTACAAGTAATAAATCAGACTTACACTTTAAAATTATTAGACATGTTAGATTTATTTATTTAAAGCCTAACCGAGCCTATTTCTACCCCTAGTGAGAAAGAAGAAGAAATTAAAGCTTGAGTCAAATACTTAGAATATGTATCTTGGAAGCTGCTTGCAGCAAGACTTTTAAAAAAATCAATTATAATTATATTAATAATCTTTTGACATGTATTGTTAATTTTCTTTAGAGTTGAAACAGTTAGAGCATCCTTATATTTTAAATTTATCTTTAATAAAATGTTGATGTTTAAAAAAAAAAAGGTTAAATTAAAATTTTAATATGAGTTTATTTAATTAAAGACATTAAATTTTGTGTAATTTACACCATTATTTTTTTAACAAATCGACCTATTTAAATAAATATAATTATTGTTGATGTTAATGTATTATTTTAAAATTATATATCATTTTAGTTAAATACTTTAATTTATCGATTTATATATATATATATATATATATATATATTCAGTGGTATGTTTTTTTATTATCTATTTAAAATATTTTATTATAAAAGTAAATCTTAAATATACTCATAAATCAGGTTAAAATTTTAAAAAAGTTAAGTCGAATGTTAAAATATGATTAAATAAATTAAACTAAAATCATAAATTCAAAAATTTTAAATTAAATTAAGATCCAACAAAATTTAACTCCACTCAAGCCTATTTTTTCCAGCAACCAAAATGTGTTCAAAGCCATAGAATACACAGCCTTAGTCCTTAACAATCATAAGATGGGATCAAAAGAACCTATTAACCAGAACCGATTAACTGCATAGAACTTAAAACATGTAAAATGCTCATGGCTTATATGTAATTGACAACCGAGTTCCTACGGAATGGAATACGCTAGCAAAATAATTTTTGTATAATTTTTTATTATTGACTAAAATTTATTAAAAATTAAATAATATAAAAATATATTTATTTAAACAGAGTTTGAAAAGAAAAAAAAAGAAAGAAAAGAGTTTAAAAGAGAAAAAAGAAAAAGAAAGAGAAAAGGTTATATTCCCTTTACTTAAATATTTAATAGTAAAAAAGAAAAAGATAGCAAATGATTTAATATGTAAATGATAATATTATTTTCTATATTTTTTATTTATATATTATTTTTTTAAAAAAAATAAAAATTAAATATTTTTTTATCCTTAAAAATTAATATTTTAGAAATTAATATTTTTATTTTTTATAATTTTTTTAAAATATATTACTCCAGAAACGATTATTTTAAAAAAAATATTTTTTGTTATTTTAACTTTAGACCATATTAAATATTTAATTTAACAAATAGGAATATAAATGATAAATCTCATTAATTACACAAGTTATTAAAGTCTCCAAAAATAAAGAAACTAAAAAAAAACAATATTTAAATTTTTTTGAAAGTTTTGAAAAATTTCTTAATTATTTTTTATTTAATTAATTTTTAAATAAGAGTTAAGATTACTATTTTTCTTTTATTTTCTCTCCGCTTCAGCATAAAATCCAAACAAAATTTTATAAACAAAAGAATAAAACTCACATAATTTATATGTTTTAATATATTTTTAATCAACAATATAAAATAAAGAATGTTAAACAAAATGTTAAATATGTTAAACACTGCGTTGTTAACGTTCCTCCAAAGAAATGCATACACGTCAAATGTATTACTCTTGTCCCACCAAAAAGCAATAACAAAAGTCCACTACGTGACAAAATCAATCGCTTACTCCTCACCAAAGCAGCAAAGCTATCACCAACTAGACGCCAAAACTGAGCCGCCGTATATATTTTTCGTGCATGAAATATAATAACACAAAACTTTAAATAATTTTAAACTTATTTTATATAATTAAAGAATTTTTCAAATTAAAATATTTTTAAAGTAATTGCAAAATCACTAACATTTTTTTTATTTATATTGATCATAAAAGAGAGTTAAAATTATAAAATTAAAAATAAAGTTCATATCATTTTATTATATTTAATAATTTTTAATTAATGATAAAAATGTTTAGCCTTAATGTTATGCTAATATATATATATTTTTTACATCGTCAGTTAATAAAAATATACTGTGAATATAATGTTTATGTTAATTATTAAGAAATAAATATTCTTCCTGATATGATTACTTATAATTAAATGAAGTATAAAACCTTTTTAAACTACAAGTGAATTTAAATTGAAATTCAATAAGAAAATATTAACAAAAATTCATGTGTTAAACACTGTTAGATATATGTTCTAATAGATGATAATGTGTTTGCATCCGCGGCACCTTTCGCTGTCGCTTGTTATTCCTTCATCATTTGGAATTATTGCTGAACAATTGAAAGCTCTCGGATGGAATGTTAAAGTAACTTTTAATAAAAAATTTATTTATTGATTACTTAACATTTAAATTTAATTTACTTTCTTCATAAAAGTTAGCCTCCCGCGGAATAATTAGACAAAAATTAGAATGTTTTTATTAAAAAAAATTATATGTAAAAATATAATACGTACACTACTTCATTGAATGCACGCAAATCCACTTTAAAAAAATCACAGTATAATACGGTAAATATAACTGATTGAGTAATGCTATGAACTTCTACTATCTTTTCTTCGTTAATCTTCTTAATGTTTTAAAAAGAAAGCATCAAATAAAAGTATAAATACATGTAATGTTTTAAAATATAAATATATTAATTATTTTTCTTCACTTTTAATGTGTGTTTAGAAATTAATAAATAATATTTTTTATCAAAAATATATTTTTATATTATCAATATATTAAAGTTTATAATTTTAATAAAATTTATTATATATAAATTTTTATTGTGTGAAATATTTTAAAAAATATTCTTTAACCATTCGATGTTATTTAACCTATGTTTTAAAAAATTACTCATACTCGATTGGATATATGTTAAGCAACAATTTTAATTCTTTTTTTCATACTTGTTAAGTACCTAAAATTTCATATTTATTTTGATTACTCAAAGTTTGGCTAATTATATATTATTTTCATACATTTTTATGAATTAGTAAAATGCTTTAATTAAAAATACAATTAATATAATGTAAGAATACAATATATATAAATATATAATAAAAAATAATATAAAATTTCAATATTAAGCTATTAAAGTTAAATATTATAAATTATAATACTATATATTAAAAGTTAGAAAATGAAATATAATAATAAAAAAGAAGTATAAATTTAAGGTAGAAAAAAAATGTTTTAAGATCAAAAGAAGTAATTGTAAATTTAAAAGATAAAAATTATAAATTACTATACTTATTCTCTAGATTTGTGGTGAAAAACAATATAATAATAAAAATTTTATATTCGATATTACACATGTTTATCATAACTTATATTTAAGTATATTGTGAATGAAAAAAAAAAAGACACGTGAATTTTTATTTAGTTACTTAAATTTAACTATTTATTTGAATATAACAATTAAGAATAAATTATTATTTTTTATTAAACACGTGAATTAACTAAAAAAGGTGGTTTGACTTTAACCTGTAAATTTAAATTTAAATTTTAATAAATATAATTATATTAAATATAGAGACGCCGAATTGATAGTAATCCAACCTGACTATTTATTTTTATCTATATTCAAATTTATTCAACAAATAATTATCCTATATCATCAAATATTATAACTGTTGTCTTCCCTACTTTTGACACAAATGCCTCGATCAATGCAAAATTTTATTTAATTGGCATAAGATATTTATGTTTATTAATGGATACGTAGAATATCACGTGAATGCTTAAAGAGGTAGCGTTATTGATTACACGAACAAGTAGCAACTAAGTTGAACTACAAAAATGGAAGGATAGATTATGATTCAAGGCTAATAATGATTATCACTACAGAATTTAAATTACTAATTGATAGGCGATATGCTAATGAAAACGTTTGCTGCTGAATCAAGTGTTTTGTGGGTCACAACATCATCGAGAGTGCCACATACAATAATTTATCCACTATCATAGGGGTTAAAAGAAACCCACATGGTTTGATAATTGTATTTGTGATGAGCGAATATGAATCTCATGATGTTTACAGAAAATTTAACAATTTACCTGCTTATTTAGTTGTTTTTCTTTTATATAAGATGTATTTTGGATTTGACTAATATACACCTTTAAAGTTATCCACCAAAACAAGGGTAGGACTTTTGGTTTTAATCTTTTGACAAGTCAAGTTTATTTAATTTACTGAATATGAAGAGCTTTGTTAACCTTTAATACATAAGCCTGTACATGACCTTAAAAACAATGGTGTAAAGAGTCAATTGGATTGTTACACCGATTTCAAAGATCAATAGAGTTAACCTTCCTATCAATTCGTTTTTATAAGCCATGAACTTTTAGTCCAAGATGTAAATCACATCAATATAACTAGTTTGAAAATAATATACCATTCCTCAATTTCCACACTGCTCATGCAAAAACATCCAAACTTCATTATTATTATATTGATCATAAAGTGCAGTATCACTGTGACTCGATAATATTCCTCAATTGAAAGTTTTTACCTTTGTTTCAAGCTTTTACTGGGATGGATTAACCCTTTTCATAGGTAGCTTTTACAAGAGTTATTAGTTATAAAAAATTGGTAATCGAATCTAGCAATATGCTGATTCAGCAGAGAAATCCTACATGTTGCACAAGTTCATGTCCACTTGTCTCCACTTCAGTTACCAAACTTAGTGAAAATAACTTCTTTTGTAGATAATTTTTCAAGGGTCTCCCATATGCCAAAAAATAAAAAAATAAAATTCTCTAACACCTTAAAAGTCCATTTCCATTCCTCACTGGTCCATTCCTTGATTTTTGCTATCCTACAATGTTTTTCCTTTTCTAATGCAAACTAGGACATATCATTTTTAAACATTCATTGCTGACCAAGTTATAGATATCTCTCTCTACTAATATGACATCAAATTTAATCTGATTCAATCTGGGTTACGCACTATTATTGAAAATTTTTTTATACAAAAGAACTCAAATCCAAAATCTGACTTAAAATATATCGAACTGCTTTTCTCAGTAAGTATATTAATTATTTAGTTTGTCCTTATAAATTTTATTTAATGAAAGATAAAATAAGAAATTTACGGGTCTCCTACGCAACAGGAGAGAAAGATGGATATTTTTTTCTTGTGAAATTAAAACCTTTTCTGTGTGACCGTCCTGAGACAATTTTTTTTATCTACTTCTTTAATTCTACACTTTTAAAGAAAATTATTAGTTATACAAAGTACCATGATGGAAAAAAAAAAAAATCTTTGACGAAAATACCTGTATTAAAAGAATTTGAATGTAATGGTAAATTCATTTAAACATTTTTTAGTCACGAATACCTGTATTAGACTTTTAATTGAATTATATGTTTTCGTAAATTAATGACAGCGATTCAAATATATGTTTGTCCTTTTAGAAACGGCAAAATTAGTTAATCATAGACAAGGGATTAATAAAGTGGCTAAATTAATAAAATAATCTCATAAGAGACATTACACTTGCATTAATATAGGTTAGGGAGAAAGTTTCTCAATAACTCAAAAAATTAAATATGATAATGATTATAGAAGACAAGAAATATACTTTTAAAAGTTAAAAGGTTTCTTTCTTTTGGATGGACATTGTCTTAAATATGGCAATGATGATACGGACAAAGTTAAGAGAAGCATATATATGGACAATTTCCACCGTGAGAATCTTTCCTCAGTAACTATCATTAGAATTCCTCTTGTCTACCACCATGATGGCAAATTTGATCCCTAACACTGATAACGGCACATTTTTCTCATGTCAAACTTTATGTTATTTAAGGAGAAATTCGTACTACTGTTCTCTTTGAAATTATTCGACTCACAAACTCTTCATCGTTGTCCATCAGAATCCACTGGCCATGGATATTAATTTGTTCTAACGGGGATTAAGGAAGGAAACTACCTTTGCGTAATGCATTAAATATAGGGATCGTAATGAAGCGGGTTTAGATAGGGGACCTCAACCACCCTCACTACCGTATCTTTTTTCTCGTTTTCATATCTTGATGATCATTATTGGAAGTTGAATACGTATTACCTGTCTATGGATTTCCATCTATCACTTCAGTATTGCCTAAATGACATGTTGATTATCCCTTAAATATGATCCATTTACATCTTTTATTACGTATTATATCATATAATTAAATAAACTCATGAGTTGTTCTTGTTTCAATACATAGTCACATATATGGTCATGCTCACAGCGTCTGAATTTTGCGCTTAGAGATCCAATGATGAAGACTATATGTGTAATTAAATAAGTGTCACAATTATAATCCCACCATTATTTGGACCTGATATTCTCTAGCTAGCTACACTGTCAACTAGGAGAAAAAAAAGTGGGATTACTTTTGTCATGATCTCTCTCAGAGTATCACTACTGGTGTAACTAAAGGGAAATGTTTTTACTTTTTTTTTTTTTGCTAATTAACGGGAGAAAATGTTCAAAAACAAACACGCTAACTATTAAATTTAGAATAGCAGGTCTTCAAAGAGTCTAACCTTAAGAGAGGATTTAAAGAAGGAGAAATTTCATGAAAGACAATAGAAACAACTCTAGATTCAGCTCTATCTTAGTTAAATAATCCGCACATTGGTTTGCTTTGTTAAGGACACGACTAAACCTAACAAACTTAATATTATGAAGGAGAAACTTAATTTTTCCGATAACAAAAATTAAAAGATGATTCCTATTTTAAATCGTTGTAATTAAAGAAAGTTGCTTTAGCATATGTCTTATAATTTATGCATATATGAAACCTATTGTAAGATGAGCACCAAACATTTATACAAACAAACTTGCTTATATTTTTGTATCCATGACTCTCATGTTTCAACTTCTGAAGCAATCGTTCATAATTATAAAAGTTGTTTAACCTATTCGCATTAAAGTTAGTGTGTTTTTGGCTTAACTTATTTCAAATAAATAATGCTTATTTTATCAACATTTTAAAGAGAAATTAAAGAAAAAGTGATTATTTTGTAAATTTAAGTGACTTTAAATATACCATTATTCTTAATAGACAGTGGTGCGTAAGAAAATAATCTTGAGAGTATTTAAGTAAGGTATTTGAAGTGAGGCTAAGAAACGTTTTCTCATGAATGAACAATTCCAGCATGGATAACTAGTCAAATAGTCAATTCTGACCAAAAACAAAATGGCATAAAATGATTCTCAGAGATCATTCAGACTTTCTTGAAGATTTGGTAGACCCACCGAAATGGATTTACTAGGACACCGTAATTTTTCAAAGTCTAACGTGCAAGTCTGAGTATACATAAATTAGATTATTCATTCTCATGCGTTTCCCTTTTATTGAAGTACTTGTTTCCGTATTTGTGACTCAAGATTTCTGTTGGCAAATTCATGTGTACGTAAGGCTTCTGAAAGTGTTATGTTCATTGTCGGGGTGCAATCAATGGTATGGGTTTTGCCTTTGTGAAAGTCGATAGTGGATTTTAATTAGCACTCGTCAGTGTCATGGCTACAAAGACACTCAATTTGACCTTGGAGAGACAACAATTCATGAGTGAACCTCAAGATTCAAGTCCAGCTCATTTCTCAAAATATGATTTGCTTCGTTAAGCCAATGGGACCGTTTGATAATTCTTTCATATGTTTCCTTTATTTAATTTATTAATTGTCGGTTTCTTAAATCGGCATGTCACATTTGACTAATTATGGGATGAACAAATTAAGTAGCTGGCAAAGTAACAACATCAAGAAAAGCAAAAATTTATGTTATTAATACACTTTTTAACATTATATATATATATATATATATATTCTTTGCAGATATGTGAATTTCTTTCAATACTTACTGAATATTTATGTTTCTATAAAAGAATTATATTCGTACATTAACTAAATTTCAGTTAAATTCATAAATATTGCATATTAACTAATATTTTATTTTACGCAAAAAAATCTACATTACATTACACATTATATGCTTATAAAAAAATGCATATCAATTATAGGAAGTCTACTTAGGGAAAAGGCTAAGATACAAACACACAAGGTTTTAATTTCACCAAGATATTATAAAAAACCAAACAAACAAATGAACATTATAAAACAAACAGAAACTCATTAAGTATTATTGCATTGGCTCTAAAAATACACTGATTTTGTATATTGTGCATTGGACAGTAATATCTTTTAAAACTAGTAAGACAAACACCCTTTTTCTCCTTTTTGCAAAGGATCCCATGTGTTTGATTAAATGTGTAAACAAATTAGGAAAATGGGTAAAGTACTCTCATTACCTCATCACAGTTGGTCCTTTTTCCAGAAGTCTTTGGCACAATTGTTGCCGTTTGGATAAATGATAGGAAGGATCGATCCTTGCACTTGTCAGTCACTCTAGTAATTAACCTTCCCTCTCACTCCTGACCCCACCAATACATTTGCACAACAATTATTATTTCCTCATGTATCTGTTTCATTTTTACACTTTATTTTCTCTCTCTCTTTTTTTTTTCTAATCATATTATATATCACATTTTAAAAAAAATTTAGACAAAATTTAATTATACTATCAAAAATGTTTTTAATGACATTTTTAATCAAGTTTAAAATTTTATCTTAATAATATGTGTTAATTAATCTTTAATTACATAAAGTTTTAACATAAAATTTTAATTTTAATGAAAAAATAATACTAAAAAAAAATTTACCTTTTCAATTTTTTTCTTTTTATTTTCTATCATTGTCATTTTTACATCCTTTTGTAAGTCACCTATGAAAGGGTGGGAGAATATGATTGCTCTTTGTAGAGCGAGCTTGGATACCATAGGAGGGTGGGACCCGTATGTATATATCACCTCCAAGGTGTCCATTTATAAATGAAGTGCTCCAAAAACTTAAATGCTAAATTCTCTCAAGAGAAGAGTGTTTAGAAAGAACTGAAAGATGGGCCATCGTTGCTGCAGCAAACAGAAGATCAAGAGAGGATTGTGGTCTCCTGAAGAAGATGAGAAACTGGTCAGATATATCAACACACATGGACATAAAAGTTGGAGTTCTGTCCCAAAGTTTGCAGGCATGCATTTCTTTCTTGTGTACTTGTGTTTATGTGTATGGTGTGTGATAGGATAATGATAAAAAAGATGATACTGTGGTTTGATATGGGACACAGGCTTGCAGAGATGTGGAAAGAGTTGCAGGTTGAGATGGATTAATTATCTGAGGCCAGATCTGAAGAGGGGTTCCTTCACTGCTGAAGAAGAGCAGATCATAATTGACATTCATAGAATTCTGGGAAACAGGTAAAGGGAAAATTAGAAGCACAGAAAATGAGACAGAAAAAGTAGCAAAAGGAGAACAGTAATCTTTTTTTTTTTTTTTCAGCCTAAAACAATTTTATTATATGAGAACAGGATAATTAGTGCTTCAAGATTTTACACATCATTGCTAAGGATCAATGAACCATAGATAATTAAAGATGAATAGATTCCTTTTTTTCAACTCTACATCAAATTTTTTTATCTAATTTTCCTTCATCTTATATTAAATTTTAGCATGATTAAATCATATTCAAATCTTAATACGTTATACCCCTTTTTTTTGTTATGAAATAATTTTAAATTTTAAATGTAACATATGATGTACATGAACTAATGAAGATTCATTCTGGTTAAGAGACTTGCATATTCATCAATGCACGCCTTATTTGTTTGCTAATTTTGATTTATAGACACTTAGACAATATTAACTCTATTTATTTTTCTCTTTCCTTCTATCACATCAGTCACTCTTCTCACTTATTTTCTTATATTTCATTGAGTATAGACACTAAACATTTCGTTTGTGTGCTGCAGATGGGCACAAATAGCCAAGCACCTACCTGGAAGAACAGACAACGAGGTCAAGAATTTCTGGAACTCTTGCATCAAGAAAAAGCTCATTTCTCAAGGGTTAGACCCACAAACCCACACTCTACTCTCTTCTCACAGGAGAAACACGGCATGCACCATCTCTAACATCCCCCAAAATTCCAACTCTATTTTTATTATGAGTTCACATATGCCAAATGCACCCATGGAAACCTCTACTCAAACCTTTTGTTCACTCCCCAAAGCACCGCCAAACATTGTTCGAACTCCCTCATGCATTGTTTCCTCTGAATATCAAACATCCACCATTGTTTCAAATAAATTCTCAGATTTGCCTCACGAACTACTAATAGAGAACAACACCAACATTTGTTCACCTTCGTATATGAACCCTCCGTCAGTTGAATTGCCGAACAATGAAAGCAGTGTTTGGGTTTCAAGAGTTAATTCTGAAGATTTCAGTGCTCAAACACTAGGAGAGGGAACACAAGTGCAGGTGCAGCAAGAGAAGGACATGAACTGTGAGAAGGGAATTGATATCAGAGAAGCTAACAAAGCCAATCTTGAAACCAACGTTTCTTTTGAGAGTTCTAACTTTGATTTTGGGTTGTTGGAGTGTGTACTTAATTCTGAATTTATGTCCCATGATCTCAACTGTATGGATGAACTTGCATGGAACTTTTAGACCATGCTTCAATTAACCATATATATGTTCCCATCGTTTATGTATATCAATTGTTCCCAGGCTCCTAGTAATATAATAATATGAGATGCATATTAAAATAAATTTCGAAAATTACAAATAATAAGGGCGATATATATCTGTAGCTGGGAAAGGTTGAAAATATTGTAATCATGCTTCTAAGACTGGTTGGAAGAAAAATAAAAAACTGCGTATCATGAATTGAAAATGGTTTGGATGAGCCGGTGGAGAATGGGATTTTGAAATTTGGCTTTTGTACGTACTGATCTCTTGTTAAAAACTAAACCTATATTGCATAAACTGGGAGCATTTTTAATGCAAATCTGGGTTCCTACGTCTTTTGTTTATTTATCTATTATTATTATGGATCAGGTGAATTTTACAAAAATAAGGGATGTCTCGGGATTTAAGCAGATTATACTTTATGATCTAAGAAATTAGAAAACAAAAACGTTTTAATGCATATATCATTTGTGAAACATCTGTGAAAATAGATATGTTTTATAAATCTAACACAATATCAATTATTGTTTACAACAATTCAAAAAAAATTACTTATTTCAAGATCAATTATTTCACCCCAAAGTCAATTTAACTTGGAAAATTAGTCAAATAACAATTGAACATTAAAACATGTTCCCGATGAAAAACTTCCATTCAACATGTTGAAAATGTTATCCAAACAAGTTAACTGGCAAATATTATGAACCACGGTAGTAGTTCCTATTTGAATCGATTCAAGGTAGGGTTTAGCATATGAAATGCTTTATATTTTTGAGCAAGTGATATAAAAATAAAAGTTTTTTATTTGATCCCAGAATAAAAATTTCCCAAGCAATGTTAATTTATGAATAAAAGTATTTAAAAAATTATCATTACATTTATAAGTGGGAATACAATACAACGTTCATAAATTTACTGTAAAATTATTATATTATTCTCATTTAATTTTAATTGTATGAACCGATAAGAATTTTTAGTTTTGCCTGCACAAGCATCACATAACCATTGTTATTACAATTAAAGTTTCTGTCACGGATACTATTATCATCCTCTCGTCACTATTTTAATATACATTTGTTAAATACCTTTTAATTTTAATTAAGGATGTTCTTGAAAAGATAAGTTACATCTCTGGAAATTTCTTTTAAAATCTAAACATATATGAGAATAAAATTTTATTAGAATCAAACATATTTTCACTAAAGTTACAGGGTACTTGATGAGTCCACATTTAATGGACTCACTAGAACCATTTTCCTCTAAGTTTAACAAAAAAATAACACAAAGTTAAGTGAAAAAATTGCACATGTTTATTCATGGGCTTGCAAGTGTTAGAGGTAAAAAGAGAAGAATTATAATAATAGGAGAATTTTATTATTTTGTCACATCAAATATATGAGTATAATTTACTATTTATAATAGTGATATTACAAGATTTTAAGTTACATTGAAGAATAATTGCTCCTTAAATATCATATGGTTACAAACAAAGAATTATTAGTCTTAACTAAGAAATTATGGTCTTTAACTCATACTAACACACATTCACTTCACAACTTTTCAATTTGTAACTCATGTAAAACTTTATTTTTAATTATTATTTTTAACATCCTCCCTTAATTAAAAATTCTCAAAAATTCTCCCGCACTCCAAGTCTTTCTCTCAATCTTCTAAAGTCTTCAAACTTGAGTGGTTTGGTAAAAATATCAGCAACTTGATCTTGAGTCTTCACAAAAATCAGCTCCACTTCTTTCTTGGCAATGCATTCTCTAATGAAATGATATCTCATATCTATATGCTTACTTTGCTTATGAAACACTAGATTCTTGGCAAGCTCTTATGCAAATTTATTATCAATGTGAATTTTAGTACTCTCTTTCTGATTCAAACAAATTTCCTTTAATAATCTTCTAAGCCAAATAACATGACAAGTACAAGAGGTTGCAGCAACATACTCAGCCTCACAAGTAGAAAGTGTGACAGCAGGTTGCTTTCTAGAATTCCAAGAAAAAGCACAATCACCCATGAATAATACAAATCCAGTAGTGCTCTTTTTATTATCAACATCACCCGCAAAATCACAATCACAAAATCCCACAAGCTTAAAGTCATTACGAAGAGAATAAAATAACCCAAAATCAATTATACCTTTCAAATAATGAAGAATTCTCTTTGCAGCTTTTAAGTGAGTAGAGGTAGGAGCTTCTATGAAATGACTCATAACTCCAACTACATACAAAATATCAGGCCTTGTACTTGTTAAGTACCTTAAGCTTCCCACTAGGCTCTTGAAGATCGTGGGGTCTATCTTTTCTCCATCATCAAACTTCAACAATTTTAATCCAGCTTCTATGGGTGTGCTCACAGGATTGCAATCAAATATTTTAAACTTTTCCAAAATTTCTTTTGCATACCTCTCTTGTGAGACAAAAATACCATTCTCCATTTGCTTTACCTCTAATCCCAAGCAATAGGACATAAGCCCCATATCTATCATCTCAAATTCATAAGACATAACTTTCTTGAAATCTTCAAATAAAAATGGATTATTGCTAGTAAAGATAAGATCATCCACATAAAGGAAAACAAACAAAACATCACCATTATCAAAGGTTTTAACATAAAGGGCATACTCATGTTGACAACGGATAAATCCATTGTCTTGAAAGTATTTATCAATGTGACTGTTCCATGCCCTCGGTGCTTGTTTTAATCCATATAACGTCTTCTTCAACTTCAAGACCTTTTCTTCTTATCCCTTGACTATAAAGCCCATTGGTTGTTCAACATAAACATTTTCTTCGAGATAACCATTCAAAAAGGCTGATTGGACATCAAGTTAAAAAAAAATTCATTTCATTTGAGCTGCAAAGGAAATAAGAAAATGAATTGTCTACATGTGAGCAACTGGTGCAAACACTTCATCATAATCAACTCCATGTTGTTGCCTATAACCTTTAGCAACGAGTCTTTCTTTGTATCTTTCTACCTCTCCATTGACATTCTTTTTAATCTTGAACACCCATTTTACTCCAATTGCTTCATGATTATAAGGAAGATTTGATAGTTCCCAAGTGTCATTTTTTTTTCAATGGCTTTGATTTCTTCCTCCATGGCTTTTCTCCACCTTTGGTTCTTCATAACTTCATCAAAATTCATTGGTTCACTGTCAACAAATAAATAAAACAAATCATTTATCATTTTAGTTTCATCATATATTTCTTGGAGACTTCTCATTTTTCTTGGCCTTTCACTTGAACTCTCTTCAGAAGATGATGAGATTTCATAAGTTGTTGAAAGAGGTGCAGTAGAAAACTCATTCGGTGGTTGGCCTCCTTCTTGATCTCCTTCTTCAAAGTATGGGAAAAAGTCATAAGTATTGTCTCGACTCATTATTATTTTACCAGTGCTTGGGTTGTACAGCTTGTAGCCTTTTGAGTTTGCATTATAGCCAATGAACACATACTTCATACTCCAATCATCAAGCTTCGATCTTCCTTGGTCTGGTACATGAGCTTATGCAATGCTCCCAAAGACTCTAAAATGGTCAACATTTGGCTTCACTCCACTCTATGCTTCTTGCAGTGTTTGATCTTTGACATTTCTTGTAGGAGAGTGATTAGACAAATAAATTGCACAAGTAACAGCTTCGGCCCAAAATTTCTTGGCCATATTTTTAACTTTTAACATAGATCTTTCCATATTCAAAACAGTTCTATTTTTTCTCTCTGCTACCTCATTTTGTTGGAGAGTTCTAGAAACTGTTAGAAGGCGACGAATCCCATATTTTTCACAAAATTCATTAAATTCCTTTGATGTGAATTCGCCACCTCTATCGGATCGTAGAGCTTTGATTACATAATCACTCTCTTTTTCTACAAGTACTTTAAAATTTTTAAAAGCTACAAATGCCTCAGATTTTTTTATTTAAAAAATAAACCCAAGTCTTCCTTAGCAATCATCAATAAAAAGCAAAAAATATTTATTTTTACCAAACGAGGCAGGATCAATTGGACCACATACATCGGTGTGAACAAGTTGGAGATGCTCTTTTGCTCTTGATTCGACTTCTTTAGGAAAACTCCTCCTTGCATGCTTGCCAACGAGACATGCTTCACATAATTGATTGGGATGGTTGATGGAAGGCATCCCTTTCACTATCTTTTCATCTCTTAGAGCCTTGAGTGCACCAAAGTTTAAGTGCCCAAATCTCTTATGCCAACACCATGATTCATTTTTTGTGCTTATCTTCAAACATTTAGCTTCAATGGTCTCAATGTTTAAAATAAACATTCTGTTTCTTGACATAAACACCTTGGCAATCAAGTTAGAATTTTGATTTCTAAGGCACAAACAACAATCTTTCATAAGGATTTCATATCCCTTCTCAACAAGTTGTCTCAAACTTAAAATATTACTTTTTAGTTTAGAAACATAATAAACATCCATAATTAGTTTGTGAATACCATCTTTTAAAGAAATTAAAATGACACATTTTCCTTGGATTTACACCTTGGAAGAATCGCTAAAAGAAACATTCCCTTTCACCTTTTCATCCAGCTCCACAAACTTTTCCCTATAACCACACATATGATTACTTGCTCCATTGTTAAGATACCATAAGCATTTGTCACCCTTCTCTTCATTGTCAAGTGCTAGCAACAATGTTGGCTCTTCATCTTCTTCTTTCTCTCTAATAAGGTTAGCCTTCTCTTCAACATTTGTTCTACACTCCCAAGAGTAATGACCATATTTGTAACAATTGAAACATTTAACATTAGATTTATCATACCTCCTTTCATATGTCCTACCAGAATTGCCTCTACCTCTTCCTTTTCCTCTTCCACAACCTCTAGTAGGTTGATAATCATCTCTATTGACAAAATTATCACAATCTCCTTTTCTTGGCCACGACCACGTCCTTGATGAAACGAATTTCGCTACTCGTTATGCACAAAGATTGTCATTAATCCTCATCA